AGCGACTTGCTGGCCGTCATCCGCCTTGCCCAGGCGCAGATGCACTGGCCCGAGGCCCCGCCCTTGGTGCTCGTGGGCCACTCGCTGGGCGGTGCCGTTGTCACCGACCTGGCGTATTCCGGCCGCCTGAGCACGACGCCCACCTCGTCGCCGCTGCTGGGGTTTGCCGTGCTGGACGTTGTCGAGGGCTCGGCCATGGACGCGCTGCAGAGCATGCAGACGTACTTGGGCACGCGGCCGCCCGGGTTCCCGACGCTGGAGAACGGCATCGAGTGGCACATCCGGTCACGAACGGTCCGCAACGCCACATCCGCGCGGACGAGTGTTCCGGCGCTGTTGGTCGACGACAGTAGCGGCGGCCAGGCGGGTGGTTCAGATGGAGACGGCCACGAGGACAGGACCGAATCAGGCGCCACCAGCACATCTATATCCGAGGACAGTGCACAACCACCGTCATCGGCGTCTACGACCGACGGCTCTGACGCGAAACGCCGGAGATGGCGATGGCGGACGGACTTGGGGGCGACACAGCCGTTCTGGGAGGGCTGGTTTGTCGGGCTCAGCAAGAAGTTTTTGGGCGCGCGCGGCGGCAAGTTGTTGCTGCTGGCCGGCACAGACCGTCTCGACACCGAGCTGACCATTGGCCAAATGCAGGGTGTGTATTGCCCCGTCCACGATGCACCTGCTACCATTACGTTGCGTGCTAACCTGCCCAGGAAAATATGCTCTGCAAGTCTTCCCCGAGGCGGGCCACTTTATCCACGAGGACTTGCCCGAGAAAACGGCACTTACCCTCGTCGATTTTTACCACCGCAACAACCGCGGCGCGCTGGTTCTGCCGCCCAAAGTCTCGGAGCTGCTGGCACAGGGCAAAAAGGTATAGCCTAGAGACAACGGTGTGTTCGGTTTGACAAAATAGAGCTCGAACAGGTACAGGGATACAAAAGAGCTGCACGAGACAATTTGTTCCTGTAAACAGCAATTGAAAAAGCCTTGGATATCGTGAAATATGTAACGTAACGGCAATGGTGAGCTGGGACGTCTTGCCCGAGCGCTCTTCACCCGCCTTTTTCTCTGCCAGTTCCCATGTAAATGCTGCAAGACAAAGTAGAGCCAAAAGACACAAAGCCATAAAACACAAAGCATAAAAATCAAACAAAATTCATAATAATAATAAAACCCAAAAGGTCGCCTGCTGCCACTGCTCTAAGCTGCAATCGCGGCAGCTTTTTGTGGCAGGGCTTCGGTCGTCGCTACAGCCGCAGTTGCCGCTGCTGCCGATGCTGCTGGGCCGCGCTCCGAGAGGTTGCGCTTGTGCTGCTGGTCCGAGGACCGTGCCTCGGCCATGTTGCCGCCCGCTGCGGCTGCGGACGCGTTGGCGTTGGCGTTGGCACCCTGCAGCCGGCGGGCCTCGTTCGCCTCGGCCTTGCGCTGCCGCTTTTGGCGCTCCAGCTCCTCCTTGGCTTTCCGCAGCGACACCGGGTCGATCTCGAGCGCCTCGTCGACCTCGCGCGCCTTGTCCATCAGGTGCGCGTACCCCAGCGCCGCGCACACATCCGCGTAGCTGTGCCCGCGGAACATGCCCACGGCCTCGGCGTGCCGCCCGGGCACCAGCTGCGCCAGCAGATACTTGGTGTTGCCAAACTTGTTGCCGACATCGATGGCGTGCCGCAGGTACGACTCCACCACCTCGCTCCACTCGGCCCGGCCGCCGTCGGCCTTGCTGCGGAAGCAGCTCGAGTTCTTTTCCGCGGCCGTCGCAATCATAGCGCCGTCCACGCCGTACTCGGCCATCAACTCCAGCGCCTGGTCGCGCGACGTCACGTCGCCGTTCATGAGACACGCCACGCCCGCTTCGTGGCAGACAGCGCGGATCATGGGCAGCTGGTCGCGGATGGCACGCTCGCGCGGCCGCATCGGCGTCGTGCGGCAGTGCACCGTCAGGCCGATGATGCCAGTGCACACGAGCCGCCGGACGAGGGCTTCGGTGGCCTTGGGGTCTTTGAGAATGCGGATCTTGACGCTGATGCCGATGCCGAACTCGGGCACAATGTTGGCAACGAGCGCCTCGAGAATCGCAACCAGCTTATCCGGCGTCTTGAGCAGCGCCGCGCCCATGCCGCCATCGGTTGAGAAGGACTTGGGGCAGCCCGCGTTGACGTCGATGCCCGCCACGTCCGCGGCCACAATCCGTGCGGCCTCGACGGCCCGCTCGGGTTTGCAGGTGCCCATCTGATAGATGAGTTTTGAGCCCTCGCGCTCAGGGTGCATGCGGAAGATGATGGAGGGCTTGACGTTCTCGCCGCTGTTGGACGGCAGCCGCGACCACTCGATGCAGCCGGTGCGTTCGTTGACGCGGCGAGTCGTGCCGATCATGGACTGGTCGATCGTTTCAGGGCCTGCGTGGGAACAGTGGTTAGCAGGACGCTGCCATGTATGTTGAATCTCGCCTTGCACATCGTCTTGTATCCCGTCCCGCATTAACTCACCCCATACGAGGTCGGCCCCGTACTGCAGCGCCAGCAGCCGTGACGGCAGCTCGCCGGAGCGCACCATCGGCGCAAGGACGAGTTTGTTGCGGTAGTCCACCCCGCGCGGGGGGATGGGAACATGTGGGACGGCCTCGGAGGTCATTATGGCACGAAAAAGGCGTCTAAACATATCATCGAGAGAGTTTGTCGTGAAGGGGAGGTTGAAATGAGTGGCCGTCGAAAGACAGAGGCGAAAGTCGAGAAAGACGGGAGAACGGGCTTTTTTCAACTGTGACTAAACATTTGGACCGGTTCTCGAATTTCCCGTTTTGGCGGCCATCCTTATCGCTTATCGGAGGAGGGAGGCGAACTCTGATTATTAGGAAGGAACGAGCAGACCTCGACTAAAGTGGTCACATGACCGCGCGACCGCGACGCGGCTGGCTGCCCTGGGCGTCCCGTATGTCCACTCATCCACAGTAATTACCCTGTTAGTGATGTTGATGCAGTGAACTTCAGCCTCAAACTTGAGGTGGACGATGAAGCACAACAACCCCCTGAATGAATATTATACGCACGTTTTGAATTTCACAGCGCACAAACGTGTTCACAAACTCACACACTGGCCCTTTACTCTCGCACATTGTTGACCGCGTTCCGGCCGTGGTTGACGCCGGCAGCCATGTCCCTTCCCCTTCGCCAGTCTCCTCGAAAGGCCAAGACTGCGTCGACAGGCGCTGCTGCTGCGTGGAACACGCTTCTGTCAGGCGGCAGAAAGAAGCAGACCATAAGCACAACGACTGTAGTGGCAGCGGACACGCAACCATCAAACATGAAGTCAGGGAGCCGGGGCAGACCACCAAAGTCGGCGGCAGTCGCCGTGACCGAGATGACCACTGAGACAGAAAACACGACCAAGACGACCAAGACGGCAAAGATGACGACGACGCGCATTAAGGAAGAGGAGGTGTCGCCGGACAAGGCCTCAAAGGTATCCAAGACGGCATCCGCCGTCAAGTCGGCCGCATTAAAGCTCGCCACCAAGGCCAGTACGGCATCACTGAAGCGCAAGGCCAAGGACGAGCCGGAGGATGAGGACGACAGGCACGGACTCGAGGTCAAGGCTGCGATCAAGACTGAGGAAGACGTCTCGATGAGGACAAATGTTGAGGACGTCAAGGGGGCGACGGCTGCCAAAACATCCAAGGCCACGAAACGGGCCAAGACCGCCGACGATGCGCCACTGGCCGAGAGGACCGACGTGGCCACACTCAAAAAGGCCATGTACATTGGAGCCCACATCAGCAGCGCCGGCGGCGTCCAGAATGCCGTGCCCAACTCCGTGCACGTCGGCGGCAACGCGTTTGCCCTCTTCCTCAAGTCGCAGCGCAAGTGGCAGAACCCGGCCCTGGCCGACGACACACGCGACGCGTTCCATGCCGCCTGCGCTGCGCACGGCTACGACGCCGCACGCCACTGCCTGCCCCACGGCTCGTACCTCGTCAACCTTGCCCAGCCCGACCCGGCCAAGGCCGACCAGGCGTACACCAACTTTGTCGACGACCTGCGCCGCTGCGACGCCTTGGGCATCCGCCTGTACAACTTCCACCCGGGCGCCGCTGTGGCCGGCAGCGGCACGCGCGAGGCGGCGCTGGGACGCATTGCCGCGGCGCTCAACCGCGCCCACGCCGACACAGCGCCCTCCAAGGTGGTGACCGTCATTGAGAACATGGCCGGTGGCGGCACGACGGTGGGCGACCGGTTCGAGGACTTGGCCGCGATTATTGCACAGATCGACGACAAGACGCGCGTTGGCGTCTGCATCGATACGTGCCACGCGTTTGCGGCGGGCTACGACCTGCGCACGCCGGATGCGTTTGACAAAGTGGTGGCGGACTTTGACCGCATCGTGGGCCTCCAGTACCTGCGCGCATTCCACGTCAACGACAGCAAGGCGCCCCTGGCCAGCCGGCGTGACTTGCATGCCAACATTGGCACCGGGTTCTTGGGCTTGCGCGCCTTCCACAGCCTCGTCAACAACGATGCCTTTGCCGGCCTCCCCATGGTGCTGGAGACGCCCATTGACCGCGTGGGCGCCAATGGCAAGGAGTTTGAGGACCACCAGGTCTGGGCCGACGAAATCAAGCTGCTGGAAAGCCTGATTGGCATGGACGCGGACACCGATGGGTTCAGGGCGAAGGAAGAGGCACTGCAGACTGAGGGCGCCAAGGAGCGTAAGCGCGTCCAGGAGCAGGTCGACAAGAAGTCGGTTAAAGACGCCAAGAAAAAGAAGTGAATGTCTTCGATGTTGAGGTTTTGTGTTGTGGCCTTTTGAATTTGACGTTCGTGGGTATTGTATCAGAGGATTCCAGCAGGAATAGGAATCGGAAAGTCCAATGAATAATTCGTGTATTTTGTAACCAAATCTCGGGTATGTATGCCAAAAATGCAAATAAACAAAAAAGTGCCAAACTCGTGCCTCATAAAACGATAAAACAATAAGCAATAGACACCAGAAACCAACCTCCACTACTTCCTTGTCCGTGCCCAGTGCTCGACCTTGATCATCAGGCTCTTCAGCCCAACACCGCGCTCGCTGTTGGCCGCCAACCACGTCTCCATGCGCTCGCGGACCTGACGCATCGACCGGAGCACTGGCATCTTGCCGCCCTCCTCGGCCGCAGCAAAGCCTGCCGGGTTGAGCAGCAACTCAAAGGCCTCCGTCCAGATGTCGGTTTGCCAGTAGCGCTTGAGCGTCTCGCGGATGCGGTAGCGCTTGACGGGGCCACGCTCTAGCAATGCGGCCCCCGGTCCGCCTGCACCCAGCGCGGCGTCAGCTGGGAACGCAGCGCTCATGCCTTGGTCGCACCGCACCGTCTCCATGTACTTGCCGAACAGAAGGCAGTGCAGTGTACCCGCCAGGCCATGGTAGTCAATCTGCCACGTCCAGGGGCGACCCTCCCGCATCTCAGCGCAATCTTGGGCCGTCGTCTTCCAGTCGGCTACAAATTTGACGTCCGCCGGGAACGCGCGCATATCAATGGCTCGGCCAAAGTCGATCAGCGTCATGCCACGTGCAGCCCAGCCGCCCGTGCCGTCAGCTTGCCACTGGCTCGACAACTGCTCGCTGCCGTCCACGATGCGGCTGTTGCTGGAACTGGAGCTGGTGCTACTGCCAAGGGATGGCGTACTGAGGGGATCCTCCAGCCGCAGCAGGCAGTTGTCGGCTTTGATGTCTCCGTGCAGAATGTTCTTGCTATGAAGTGACTCAACTGTACGGAAGAGCTCAATGGCAAAGAACATTGCCAGAGTCTCGTCCATCACACCAGAAGACTCGCCGCGGAACAGGTTGACAACGTCCAGCAGAGTGCCGTGCGGGTAGAATGGGAGAAACAAAAATGTTTCGTCTCGGTATAAATGGCATTCAAGAGCGGGCGCTAAAGACGCTGTCGCACGGTGCTGCGGCCCGAGCCGTGTGTGGGCAAGCCGCATCATGTGAAATTCCCACGTTGTCGGCGGTGTCTCCATTTTGAGTGCCTCATGCGCGTACCGACGGGAGTGTGCGCTAGCAAAGGCGCCGCGTCCCATTTGTGCTACAGCCTGCTGCTCACCATCGTTGGCATTCTTCACGCCGTCGGGATCCATGTTCTCCACCAAGTACACAGGCGCAAAAGCACCAGCGCCGATCTCGCGGCGAACTGTGTACTTCGACGGGCAGTCGGCAAATTGAATCACCACCGGGACACCGGCACCGCTAGACCGATCCGACCCACTGCCGCTACCACCGCTTACACCACTGCCACCCGACTTGTATTTGCCCGAAACGGCCTTGGCGTATCGCCGGACTTCAGCGCCCTTGTCGCACTTCTCGTCACGATGGTCGTAGAATCCACTATACGAGCCGAGTGGCGGTTGAATGTTGGCCAGAATCTCTGCTCGGATGCCCTCGTCGACGGGGTTGCATTGGGTCTCTTTGATGATCGGTCCCTTGGCAGGAACGGTGCGGGAAGCTGCTGCACTGTCCACCACTGGGGCGACGGCGACCTTTTGGAAGACTGGCTGGGCGAGTTTTAAGGGCGGAGGCTGGGGCAGGTCGTCGTCGTCGTCGACAATGTCGATAAGTGGACTGCTCAAAGGCTCAGGCGGAATGATCCCGCTGCTGGTCTTCTCCTCTTCACCCTCCTCATCGACCTCGACATCTTCATCGTCGTCGTCTTCCTCTACTTCGTCGTCTTCTTCGTTCGGGCTTGATAGGTGAAGAGACCGTCTGCCCATAGCCTTGCTCGGCGTCTTCGCATGCAAAGCCCGCTTATTGTCCTCCGAATCGAATTCGAGCGACGACTCCGTCCGTTCCGTAATGGGCGTCATGAACGGCAAACGATTGTTGGCCACCTCGGCTGGATCCCTATAGGGCCGTGTGGGTGCAACATAGTCTTCCGGCGGGATAGGGATAAATACAGTCCTAGTCCGTGGCGGCTCCGGTACTACTACCTTATCTTCAGCAGCTGGGCGGAGCGGCGAAGAGGGCAAAGATGGAACAGCATTTTCGTCGTTCGCGTCGCCACCGACAGGGTGTGAGAAACCGCGGATAGGAAGAGGGCTAAATTCCTCGTCAGGCTCGTCCCTGTCACTGCTGTTGCCGACGTCATCGGTGTCGCCGGCCGTCGTGGTGGACGGAGTCTGGTCTGCGGTGGTCGTATCTTGAAGGCTGGAGATGTCCTTGGGTACCGCAAAGTCAGACCAACCGCTCACATTTCCTGCCTCGTCGCCGTCGACAGCACTTGCATCCACATCCGCGCTGTCCGCCTTCTCGTTATCACCCTCGTCGTCGTTCTCTCCATCACCCGCATCGCTCATTGACGTGTGCCTAGCCGTGCCCGTGCTCTCTGCACCGCTCGTATAATCGCCGTCCGTTTCGTAATCATCGTCGGAAGACCGGTTTTCGTCCACTTCCTCAATCCCTTGCTTTTTAGGCTGGTTGAATATTTCGTAAATGTCGTCTGTTGCCGCTCTTGTGTGCATCGTCATTGTTGGCTCGGATGTGGCAGAGCTCTTCTTCTTCATACGAGGCTTCGAGGGGGAGTCCAAGTTTGCTTTGACTACATATGGTGTGGTTAGTTTGACACAAATGCCATGGTATCTCCAAAGGAATCCATAAGGAATCTTACTGATCTGTGTCACGTTTGCCTCCACCACCTTCTTTTTCCTTGGCCGGTTATTCTGGTCGTGGTTCTTGATCATCGCACCGTTCTCGTCAAGCCGGACGACATCTCGATGAACGACAAGCTTCGTCGCAACTGTGTCCGCCAACACATCCATCTGGCGATGACCGACTGGCGAGAAAAGAAGATCCTGGTCTTCTTTTGCAGGGGCAACTTCATCCCACGATCGATGCTGCAAGCCGCGATTGGCCGCCCAAATCTCCTCAAAGCTGAGCTCCGTCCCGGGCTCTTCTGGCGTTGGATAGACGGCGCGCAAATCGACAAAGACGCGCTCTTTCTTCCCGCTCGCCGGGTTTACTGTTACCTGGTATTGCGAAGGATGAATAGTAATGTGTGATTTGGCTAATGACTAAAATGATACATTTTGCGCCAGAGAAGACACATTGACAAATGCCCCCGAAGGCATTTGCCAGCCCCAAAGCGCCAACAAATTAGTCCTATATTGATCAACAAAATGTTTAAAAGAAAGAGAGCAGCAACAGGGCCAAAAAGAGAGCAAGTGGGCTCAGGGACTTACCGCGTCCTTAAACACCGCCATCTTTGATTTTGGCTTTTTGCCGCCTGCACTCAGCGTCTCGCCGGCCCACGGCTTTGCTGCCACCACGTTCTCCTTCTTGCGCTCGGCCAGCGACCCAATGCTCTCCCAACCTTTGGTCGTAGCACCCGATACCCCGAGGGCTGGGGCTGCTGCGGACGCATTGGCGTCGGAGAAAATGGCCATCTTTGGCTTGGAACCGCGTGCAGCCTGGCTGCTCGCTTGCTGTTGCCTCTGCTGCTCCTGCAGACGTTGTGCTGCTTGCGGATCGTTCAACGCGGCGACGGCGCTGGCGAACGGGTCGACCTTGGCAGCCAGAACCGGACGCACTGTCGGCAGGGCCGGAGATGGTGGTGCGTCGGGGTTGAGGGACTCCGGTGCCTGGGTCGCGCGGCGCTGCTCAAACTCTTGGTATTTGCGCATCAAGCGCGCCTGCGGCCGTGCATTGCGCTCGATTCCCAGCCGGTAAACCTCGTCGGCCTGGGCCCAGCGTGTGGCTCCCTCGAGCCAGGCGGCGTACTCTTCGTAAAACAGGGCGAGGTTCTCGCCAATGTTGTGCCGCGACAGGTAGACGTAGGTCTCGTGAGGGGCGTCGGAGAAGAAGTGGATGTAGTGCAGCCAGAGACGCAGGTACCGCGGGTCATTTCGGTACTGGGCGGCACCAACAAAGGCCTTGGTGGCACGCTCGAGCAGGAGGTGCAGCTGGGATTGCGGAGTTGCTTGGGCAGACGGGTAGGCGTCCAGAGTCCAGCGAACGTAGCGGTCGTACGCGTCCAGGGGGTCGTCAGACTCGGCGGCAACGGCCAGCTCAGCCTCAAAATCGGCACGGATCGTGTCGTGCAGTGTCTTCGTGTCGCCCGGGTTTGGTGTCGGCGTCAAGATCGGGGCCAGTTTGTCGCCCTGGACGCCCACAGACTGCGGGGAGTAGAGCTCGGCCAGCTTTCGGGCTGACCGGCCGCCAGGAAGAGACTGGATGTTCTCCTTCTGGCTCTCAATAACATCGAAGTTAATCAGTTCGTCGGAGGCAGCCATGATCGTGGTGGTGTCGGTTGCCAGTGGTTCGTGACGAAAGTGATGCAAAAGAGTGAAAAGGGTGGATTGGGAAGAAAGGTCAATGAAACGCGCCTCCAGCCAGTAATCTAAGACGCGCCTACCGTGTGTGTAGGCTGCTGCTTTGGGAAAGGGCGAAGGAATTGGGCCGTCTCTGACTAGCATTTCTGTCGTGTCGGTTGTCGAAATTGTGGGGTTGTATTTATTAGTAAATAAACCCGGTTAGTTGCTGTGACAACAACCCCGCTACAGACGCCACAGGCGCCACAGCCTGCTGAGACAACCCCTGTTTAATTCTCATCACACACCGATTCGTACGGAAATACATTCTCACTCACGCACGTCGTGAAGACGACCTTCGCTGAGTTTGTTCCCTAAATTTGCAAATTTATTTGTGGTATCTACGGTATGAGTCACCGGACCCCATCATGTTCCGTTGGCCGTTTTCACCGGCCTTCTTCCGTTTCTACTCTCACATGCCCAAATCATGTTGTTGAAGCGCCTACGGCGCCTCTGTCGTTCGCTTCCATTCACGTCATCCCCGACAGGTCGTTGTGACGAGCGGTTTAGATGTTCACCGAGGTGCGGAAGTTCTTGCCGGCGTAGACGGCGTTCTCGCCGAGCTCCTCCTCGATGCGCAGCAGCTGGTTCAGCTTGGCCAGGCGCTCCGAGCGGGCCGGGGCACCAGTCTTGATCTCGCCAGAGCGGATACCGACGACAATGTCAGCAATGGTGACATCCTCAGTCTCACCAGAGCGGTGAGACACCATGACGCCCCAGCCATCGGCGTAGGAGTCCTTGGCGGCCTGGATTGACTCGGTCAGGGTACCGATCTGGTTGACCTTCAGCAGCAGGGCGTTGCAAGCCTTGAGCTCAATGGCCTTCTTGATGCGCAGGGGGTTGGTGACCGTCAGATCGTCACCAACGATCTGGATGTTCTGGGTCTTGTAGAAGTAGCTCCAGGCCTCCCAGTCATCCTCGGCGAAGGGGTCCTCAATGCTGACAATGGGGTACTTCTTGCTGAGGTCGGAGTAGATCTGGGCCAGCTGCTCGTAGGTGATCCACTTGGTAGGGTCGCTCTCGGGGTTCTTGAAGTCCAGATCGTACTTCTTGACATCCTCCTTGTAGAACTCGCTGGAGGCAACGTCCATGGCGATGTTCATGCGGCCAGTGTAGCCGGCCTTCTCGATGGCCTCGGCGATCAGCTCAAGAGCCTCGTCGGCAGTCTGGATATCAGGGGCAACGCCACCCTCGTCGCCGACGTTGCCGGCAGACTGGCCGTACTTCTTCTTGGCCAGGCTCTTCAGCTGCTGGTACACCTCAGCACCCCAGCGCAGGGCCTCGGAGAAAGAGGGGGCGTCGCTGGGAACGATCATGAACTCCTGGAAAGCCAGGCGGCCACCGGCGTGGGAACTGGGAAACTCGTCAGCGTGTGTTTCTTACTCTCAAGTCATTCCCGCACGTCAAATCGCCTTCGGGAAGCCAGTGTAAACATACCCGCCGTTGAGGACGTTCATGAAGGGAACGGGCAGGACATAGGGCTTCTTGGTGCCGGCCAGGTCGGAGACGTGGGCGTACAGAGGGACACCCTAGGAAGAGAGGCGGAAATGTTAGTATCCAATTGGTCTGTGTGATGTTCGAGCTTCTTTCCCGTCGTCCGGTCGAATTGAACCTACCTTCTCGGCAGCGCCAGCCTTGGCAATGGCCAGGGACACGCCCAGGATGGCGTTGGCGCCCAGCTTGGTCTTGTTGGGGGTACCATCAAGGTCAATCAGGAACTTGTCGACCTTGGACTGGTCCTTGACGTCGACGGCCTCCTTGATGATGGCGGGACCAATGATCTCGTTGACGTTCTTGACAGCGGTCAGGACACCCTTGCCACCCCATTTCTCCTTGTCGCCATCGCGGAGCTCGCAAGCCTCGTGTTGGCCTGTTGCAGAACACACAAGTCAGCCAGCTGCGCTTCTGTGCACTCGAAACACGTCGAGTTCAAAAGATATTGGGGGGTAGGTGACGCGTAACGTACCAGTGGAGGCACCCGAGGGGACAATGGCGCGGTGCAGGCCAGTCTCGGTGACAACGTCGACCTCAACGGTCGGGTTGCCGCGCGAGTCGTAGACGTAGCGCGCGTGGATCTTGGTGATGGCCATTTTGAAGCTTTGGTGGGGTCGAATGCTGTTGAGGAAGCTAGCTCGGAAGTCGGGTCAGATAAAACCTGCGAGTTGGTGATGCTGGTCAGTGGCTTGTAAGAAGGAAGAAGAGAGACGAAACAAAAACAAAACAGGAGCGAGAAGGAAGGTATAAGAGGGAGGCTAACAGGCAATCTTGACGACAACGAGAAATTTGTAATAGTCGCAGTGAGTCAAAAAGGCCGAAAGCGAAAGTCGGAGAATTGGCAGGAAAATATTGCAGGAGCTATTTATGGGGAAGTGCAGAGTGACGATATAACAGAACGGGATAATGCCTCATGGAAGGAAAACAGATCACAAGATTCGAAGGAATTAAGGCGTTGTGGAGGGGCAACGATGGAGGGGATCCAATGAACAATGTGGGTTTGACAGCAGACGATGCGCGAGGAAAAAAAGACACACACCTCGATATGGGGGGAGGCTGCGTGATTATGTTTGCGGGATGTGAAGCTCGCTTTTTTGCTCGCTCTCTCTAGGGTGGGAAGCTCCTTCTTTCTTACCTTTGTTTGGTTCGGACGGGACGAATTGGCCTTAAAACGTAAAGGTGGCAGGAACGTGGGTGCTATGATGGGGACGAAGATGTCTAGACAGGAAAGAAAGGAAGGGACAGGAGCCTTTTAAGGACAGATACAGAAGGAACAGTCCATTGGTATGTACGTTGGTCTGGACGTCCGTTTGTTTTGTTGGGCGCCCCGGTTTGGAGGGGCAGGTAGGTACGCTGTGCGCAACGGCCGTCATTCGTTCCTGCCTTTTCTTGTCCTTTTTTGGAGGGGCACTGTGGTGTTAGTGCATCACTGGTGGGGTGTTACTGTTGGCCCAGGCGTGAGCAATGAGCAGATGGGGCCGGACAGTAAGACAGTGCGAATTGCGTTCTTCGTTCTGCGGGTTTCTGAGCGCAGCTCTGCAAGGACGGGAAGGAAGAACCGTGCACAGAAGACGCGGTGCTCGGTGCAGCTGGCCGGAGTGCCGCTGCGGCTGGCCGTTGCTGTCCTGCCAAGGCATTGTTCTGTTTCGAAGCCCATGCATGTCTCTCACCGTCGCTCATTCCCAATCAGCTGCTAACATCGTGACATTCGCCATGGCTTCTGGCGGAGCTCCTCCGGCTACTCCCTCGCTGTTTATAGAGCGGTACCGAGCTCGGCTTGAGCTCCAGAGCTCCAGGGCGCTCTCTTCTCTTTTCCGGAAGCCGTCCCGGACCCTGATCTTGCGAAATGGCGAAAGGTGGCCGCATCGCCGTTATGTTTTCGTGGTAAGCTCGTTCCTGGCTTGGGTGGTGTTGGCTGCAATGTTAGTGTGGTACCCCATAAAGGGTTTACTATACACGTGTAAGTCTGTACCCCGTTATCTAAGGAAGAAATCGGCGTTGCTTGATCTTGAGAGTAGAGCTAGCACACCTGTGATTGGTCAATTGCACTCATACTTTGCCGATGTCGACAATGCGTTGCTGCACCTGGCCAATTCTCCCGCGTTCGATCTCGGCTACGACGACAAAGACAGCTGCCCGGACGGTTATTGGGCTTTAGCATGTGCACGAGATTGTTCGATCGACTGGGGTCGTGAGGATACCCCTCACGCGTAAGGCAGTACTTGACGTATTTCGGCGGATCGACCCTAGGCTGCATCCTCCGCGTCGTCCTAACCTTATTTCACAAGGGCAATGCAGTTGCAATGGGTCCGTGGCTGCGGCGTTGGGGGGGTTCATGCTCGCGATGGTATTCCCATGATTCGATATCTCACAAAATCGCGAGAAGGGTCGTGCAAGTGCCCTAACGATGTCACGTGCAGCTCAGTGAACGAAATTTCTTCGTACCTGGAGAGGACAGGCACAATAAAAACACTCCGCCTTCCTAAAGCGGAAGGCGGGCAGAGATTTCGACGTAAAAACCCGACCCTGAGTGACGAATACGACGGAAAGGTGGGAGCCATTCTTTATGGAGATCGAATAAATGCTCCCCCCCATTAGTAGCCATGAATTGTGCAAAATAGGAAAGAGCGACCTGTGCGGAGTGCATATTTAAGGCAAGACGTAAGACCCGCTGGGCTCATAGCCGTAAGATTCAGAGAACCGACGGCTTGGGACGGCAATTGCAGAGATGATAGGCAGGTGTGAGGGCGTATGGTATGGGCGGGTCTGCCCAGTGGTCTGTGCACCAGAGCATGGTAGCGGTACGCCGTATGTCGTACAATGTCGGCAGCTTTCCAAGTTCGTTTTTTCTTGCACGAGTTAGACATCGACCAGTTCGTTTCACCACGAGCTGCCTTTTCAAGGAAGGGACAGCCCCCGTCCACTTTCGCTTGTCCCTCACAGGTGCGCCTTCCGCTTCTTTTTACTGGGGCCATTCGTTCCTTCATCGCATCGGCTACCTGCCCCTTCCTCCCCGCCTCCTTCCTGCCTGTTCGGTATGTCTTCTCCATTGGCAGCACTGGTCTGCCGGGCCACCAAATCACCGTTCTCGTCTGCTTTATTAAGAGCAACCGTCCCCCGCTCTAAACTCTCGGCACGCGTCTCTTCTGCCTGCATTACCCCGCTGGCGTCACAATATACGACAACATCTCGCTCTCTGTAAGTTGCATCACAGATGTGTCTCGCTCAACTTGACACAAGCCTTTGTCTACTGTCCTCCTTTGCCAGCCTGTGTCGCCCCAATCGCATCGCCCTACGGCCTAGACGCGGCCCTGAGTAACACCCGTCACCAACCTTCACCTATATTTCCCCCACCGCTCAGGACCGAGGCGCCGACAGTCTGGTTCCAACAAGCCACCAACAGTTGAAGAAGCCAACTTGGACCAACGCCGCTAACTGCTACAAAGCCATTGTTCGTCTGCCGCGTTCTGCCCATCTCCATCTTTGCGTCACCACAAGCAGTTGAGACCTCTACATACGTCGCAGCCGTCATCCATTCGTTCCTCGCATCGGCACCCCGTCTCGCGCCTTCAACCTTTGACTTCTGTCCGTTACTGTTCACACCGTCGCCACGCCATGTGTCGCCACTCTGGAGCCGACGGCAATGCGACCGCCGTGAACTTGGGCCGCGAGCTGCTGCCGGCGGATGTCGTCCCCAAGCATTACAACGTCACCCTTGAGCCCGACTTTGACAAGTTTACCTTTGAGGGCACTGTCATCATCGACCTCGACGTCGTCAAGGACACCAGTTCCGTCTCCCTGCACACCCTGGAGATCGACGTGCACAGTGTCAAGGTCAGCGGCGATGGTGCTGTTCTCAGCTCGTCGCCGTCTGTCTCATATACCGAAGACACACAAACGACCAAGATCGATTTCGATGGCAGCCTCGCCAAGGGCACCAAGGCCCAGCTCGAACTGTCCTTCACCGGCCAGCTCAACGACAAGATGGCTGGTTTCTACCGCTCTACCTTCAAGAAGGCCGACGGCAGCAACGGCATCATGGCCGTCAGCCAGATGGAGCCCACGGACGCCCGCCGCGCTTTCCCCTGCTTCGACGAGCCCTCCCTGAAGGCCACCTTCGCTGTCACCCTGATTGCCGACAAGCACCTGACGTGCCTGAGCAACATGGACGTTGCGTCTGAGACGGAGATTCAGTCCAAGATCAGCGGCGGTGCCAAGAAGGCCGTCAAGTTCAACGTGTCCCCGCAGATGTCGACGTATCTCGTTGCGTTCGTCATCGGCGAGCTCAACTACATTGAATCCAACGACTTCCGTGTGCCCGTGCGCGTGTACGCCCCGGCCGGCCAGAACGTGGAAAGCGGCCGCTTCTCGCTCGACCTAGCGGCCCGCACGCTCGCCTTTTACGAGAAAGTCTTTGGCATTGACTTCCCGCTGCCGAAGATGGACCAGATTGCCATTCCTGATTTCGCCCAGGGCGCCATGGAGAACTGGGGTCTCGTCACCTACCGTGTTGTCGACCTCCTGCTGGACGAGAAGACCAGCGGTGCCGCCACCAAGGAGCGCGTCGCCGAGGTTGTTCAGCATGAGCTCGCCCACCAATGGTTCGGCAACCTGGTCACCATGGATTGGTGGGATGGTCTTTGGCTGAACGAGGGTTTTGCTACCTGGGCCTCGTGGTACTCGTGCAACGTCTTCTTCCCCGAGTGGAAGGTCTGGGAGTCGTACGTCAGCGACACGCTCCAGGGTGCCCTGTCTCTCGACTCCCTGCGCAGCAGCCACCCCATCGAAGTTCCTGTGAAGCGCGCCGACGAGATCAACCAAATCTTCGACGCCATCTCGTACTTCAAGGGCTCTTGTGTTCTGCGCATGATTTCCACGTACATAGGCGAGGACGCCTTCCTCGAGGGCGTCCGCCTGTACCTGAAGAAGCACAGCTATGGCAACACGCAGACGGGTGACCTTTGGGCGTCCCTGGCCGAGGCCAGCGGCAAGCCTGTGGACGAGGTCATGACGGTCTGGACCAAGAACGTCGGCTACCCCGTCGTCACCGTCACCGAGAAGGACGACGCCATCCACCTCAAGCAGAACCGCTTCCTGCGCACAGGTGACGTCAAGCCGGAGGAGGACCAGGTTCTCTACCCTGTCCTTCTCGGCATCCGCACCAAGGAGGGCGTTGACGAGGAGCCCATCTTGAACACGCGCGAGGCCGATTTCAAGGTGTCGAGCAAGGATTTCTTCAAGCTCAACGCCAATCACACGAGCCTGTTCCGCACGTCGTACTCGCCCGAGCGTCTTGCCAAGCTCGGCGAGGCCGCCAAGGAGGGTCTGCTGACGGTGGAGGACCGTGCTGGTATGATTGCCGACGCCGGTGCACTGGCCATCTCCGGCTACCAGAAAACGTCAGGCGTTCTTAGCCTTCTCAAGTCCTTCAACGAGGAGTCGGACTTTGTTGTTTGGAACGAGATCATTTCGCGGCTCTCGGTTGTGCAGAGCGCCTGGATCTTTGAGGATGCCGCGATCCGTGACAGCCTCGAGGCGTTCCAACGCGACCTCGTCAGTGCAAAGGCCCACAAGCTCGGCTGGACGTTCTCCGACTCGGACGGCCATATTGAGCAGCAGTTCAAGTCGATGCTGTTTGGCAGCGCCGGTCTGAACGGCGACAAGACCGTCATCGCGGCCGCCAAGGACATGTTCAACCGCTTCATGGCAGGCGACACCCTGGCCATCCACCCCAACATCCGCGGCAGCGTGTTTGGCATGGCGCTGAAATACGGTGGCAAGGATGAGGTACGATGAGTAGAATGACATGCAACGCACTCCCTGCTTACATGGACACACGCTAACAAGAACCCACAGTACGATGCCGTTCTGAACTTCTGGCGTACCTCTCAGAACAGCGACGAACGAAACACGGCTTTGCGCAGCCTGGGCCGTGCAAAGGACCCTGAGCTCATCAAGCGCACACTGGAGCTGCTGAGCAGCAAGGAGGTCAAGGACCAGGACATCTACATGCCGGCCTCTGGCTTGCGCGGCCATCCCACCGGTATTGAGGCCCTGTTTACGTGGATGACGGAGAACTGGGACGATCTGTACAAGCGCCTGCCGCCTGGCCTGTCGATGCTCGGCTCGATGGTCAGCATCATGACGTCCAGCTTCTCGCGGCAGGAGCAGATTGCGCGCGTCGAGGCCTTCTTCGCGGACAAGAACACCAAGGGCTACGACCAGGCGCTGGCACAGAGCCTGGACGGCATCCGGTCCAAGATTGCATGGGTCCAGCGCGATGGCGAGGACATTGCCGGCTGGCTGCGCGAGAACGGCTACAGCAAGTAGCTCGCAGCCAGGCTGTGAGCCGCACAGAGCGTCTATAAATCAGCAAGGCGTGTCACTGCGGCTCGCGGCGTTTGAGATACATCTATACTCTAAAAATGAACAAAGAAGTAAAATGTAATGATGTTTGTGATGTTTGTGATTGTTGTGATTATTGTGATCGAAACGATTGGTTTTCAATTTATTTATTTTTAAGAAAAGATGGCTGAGAGAGAAGAAATAAATCCAGAAAAGGAAGAAAGAATGGCAAGGCTCCAATTTCTTACTTTAGCTTTAGTTACGAGAGTTTGTCCTCGCAGCTCGTTATACTTAGAGCGTGGGATACCGATTATCTCAGGACATGTGTGCTAGTGAGGGCAAAGAGCTAATTGCCAGTTGACGGCAACTCCTTCCCTTGTCAAATCCTCCCAAACCGATTATAAGAAGTTCATAACAAAAGGCCCAAAATCGACCCAACACAGATTTACAATAAATCACACGCAATGCAATCTCCATTTCAAACCACCAACTAGGAAAGGAGGACGGAGGACTGACGTTGCCAGGCCCAGCTCTTTACGGCCGCCGAAGGCAGTCATTGCCCAAGCGACAAGAATTTGCCCCACATGCTTGAAAAAACCCGAATCCACTTTCATCGCCTTTGACGACATACAACACTGTAAATCGACAAAGATACCGCCATAGGGTTGCGTGCGGGCTACACTCATCTTGCTTGACAATGGCCAAGGACAAGAAGTCCAAGAGCGACGGCAAGAAGGCCAAGGCGGCGGAGAAGAAGCAGAAACAGGAGAAGAAGGCAGCGAAGAAGGCCAAGGTCAAGGACGCCAAGCAGCAGGACGGCAGCGATGCTGAGGATGTCGACCTCGACCAGGTGCTCGAGGAGTACAGGCGGCAGCAGGAGCTGTTCCTCAAGGTGACCGAGACGGTCGCAGACGGCCCGCCGCGGGCGCGGGCGGCGGCCAGCTTCCTGGCATCGCCAGCCAATGCCAACCAGCTGCTGCTGTTTGGCGGCGAGTATTTTAACGGCGCACTGGCGACGTTCTTCAACGACCTGCACATCTACTACATTGACCGCGACGAGTGGCGCACGGTGACGTCGCCCAACACGCCGCTGCCGCGGTCGGGCCACGCGTGGTGCCGCGGCGGCAACCTGAGCAGCTCGGTGTTTTTGTTTGGCGGCGAGTTCAGCTCGCCCAAGCAGGGCACATTCTACCACTACAATGACTTTTGGCGGCTGGACCCGGCGGCACGCGAGTGGACGCGGCTCGATACCAAGGGAAAGTCGCCGCCGGCGCGCAGTGGGCACCGCATGACGTACTTCAAGAACTACATTGTGCTGTTTGGCGGCTTCCAGGACACGGCCAACCAGACGCGGTACCTGGCGGACCTGTGGCTCTACGACACGGCCAATTTCGTCTGGTTTAACCCGGCCCTGCCGCCGGCTCAGCTCAAGCCCGACGCACGGTCGTCGTTTACGCTGCTGCCGCATGAGCAGGGTGCCGTGCTGTACGGCGGGTTTTCGCGCGTCAGGGCAGCCAGTCAGCCAGGCGGCGGCGGCAAACAAGGAGGCGGCGGCGGCGGCGGACGGAACGCCATGAAGGCAGTCGTGCACCAGGACTGCTATTACCTGCGGATTACGCCACCACCGGCCACGGACGCACCCGGGACCGCGCCTGTTGTGCGCTGGGAGCGGCGCAAGAAGCCGGCCAATGCGCCCAACCCGACGCGGGCGGGTGCCACAATGGCGTACCATCGCGGGCGCGGCATCCTGTTTGGCGGCGTGCATGACGTCGAGGAGAGCGACGAGGGTCTCGACAGCGAGTTCTTCAACCAGCTCTTTGCGTGGAACATTGAGCGCAACCGGTTCTTCCCACTGGCGCTGCGCAAGCCACGGACAGCAGCCAAGAAGGCGACGGGCGGTGGCGGCGAGCAGCGTGTCGGCCGGCGTAACCGTGCGGCGGCCAACGAGGAAGAGCTCCTGAAACAGCTGGCGGCGCTGGAGGCGACGAGCAAGAAGGACGGCGACGACGGTAGCGACGACGACGCCATGGAGCTTGACAAGAAGGCGGCCGAAGACGAAGAAAAGTCGCCGGCGCGGCAGATGCCCGTGTCGATGGAGATGCCGCACGCACGGTTCAACTCACTGCTGGCCGTGCAGGGTGATGTGCTCTACATGTACGGCGGCACGTACGAAAAGGACGACCGCGAGTTTACGTTTGACGACATGCACGCTGTGGACCTGGGCAAGATGGATGGCTGCAAGGAGGTGTTTAGCCGGCCAATGGACGATGCGTGGTACGAGTCGGAAGACGAAGACGACGACGAAGACGAGGACGAGTACGAGGACGACGAGGAAGACGAGGAAGACGAGGACGTCGACATGGAGGACGATCCAGCGCCCAAGAAGTTTACGCCCAGCACGCGGAACAAGAACAAGGGCGCAGTCGCCGCGTCGGACACGGCGTCTACGGCTGACGCGGAGTCACCGGCCGCGTCGTCGTCGTCGGCGTCTGTGGCCGACTCGGACGACACCGAAGCCACCGAGGCCGACGCACCAGTCGATGACGGCCTGCCACACCCGCGGCCGTTTGAATCGCGGCGAGACTTCTTCAACCGCACGTCCAACGAGTGGCAAGAGATCCTCATGACGCAGCTGCGGTGGAAGAACATCAAGGTGGAGTCGATGCTGGTCAAGGAGATTAAGACCAAGGCCTTTGAGCTTAGCGAGGAGAAGTGGTGGGACTGCCGCGAGGAGATCACTGCCCTCGAGGACGAGCAGGAGGCGGCCGGCATTGGCGAGGTGGTGTCCCTGGCCGACCGCGAGGGTGGTGGCGGCAGAGGCGGCGGCGGTGGCGGAGCGCGGAGGAGATAGAGGAGCGTATATGAAGTACGGAGACCGCCAATACAACTTGGATATTTACAAAATATACTGGAATACAGAGTTGGGTTTTGTGGACGAGTGCTTCGGGGAATGCCCTGAGGCCAGAATATAGCGGCAATGTGCTGTAAATTATAGCGGCAGCGGGTGCTCCTATGGTGCACGCGCCGTTAAGTGGTAGCACGTGCTCAGGCGTTGCGGGGATCGCCACCAGCGCGACAGAGACCGCGTGGTTGCCTTCGTTGGATATGGTAGTGAAACCTTTTAACATAAACCAAAAACCAAAAACCAAAGCTACAAAATTCTGTATTCTGGTCCCTTCATACAGCATCCACAGGACCACAACCATGCCGGTCGGCATCCAGAGGATCAACGCCCGGCGTTCGCAGCCCAATCCGCACATTGTCTTTATCAAGCCGCTCAAGGGGCCCGATGAAGAGGTTGCGCGCCAGTTTCTCGAGCGCATTGCAGCTCAATGTGGTACGTTGTCTTGGACGTTTCTTGTTTTCCCTTTCTATTTGTTGTATTGTTGTCCGTCGCTGACAAGGTAGTCCCCATTATGCGCGAGCATCACCTCACCGTTATGACGCTTGAAGAGTACGAACCCAACCGCGAGTTTGTCGGGCGCAACTTCAACGCCGGGGAGGTCATTCAGCTCGTGCTCAAGGCTCACGGATCCCGCCGTTGGCTGCCCTTCCAGTACGTCCAGATGGTCATGATGCACGAGCTCGCGCACTGCCGGCAGATGAACCACTCGCGTGCGTTTTGGAGCGTCCGGGACGCCTTTGCAGCGCAGATGCGGCGACTGTGGGCGGACCGGTACGTGGGCGAGGGCATCTGGGGCCGAGGCGCCAAGCTGGGCACGGCGGCCGATGGGGGGCCCCCAATGTATGAGCGCAATGTGGCGCTGCCGGGGGACGGCGGTGACGATGGCGTGCTGCTCGAGCACCTCTGCGGCGGAACGTACCAGTCACGCAGGGGCCGCAAGCGCAAAGTCAAGCCGACACTCACGTACCGAGAGCGCGAGGACCGGCGCATACGACGCAAGTTTGGCGTGAACGGGGTGGCGCTGGGCGACGACCTGGAGGAGCGGGCGAAGCTAGATGCGCGGGGAACGGGGAGTAGCAGTCCAAGCAAGGCTCCAGCTTTGGGCAAACAGACGACTCTGAGTGTTGGTAGTGGTAAAGTGGGCATGCAAAAGGAGACGACAGCAAGAACCCTTGCAGGAACGACAAAGACGGAGCAGAAACGGCTGGCCACAAAACCGCGTGTGGCTGTCAGCAAACGTGGCCGCGAGTTGCGGGCAGCCGCAGCCTTGGCCCGGTTTGAGCAGAACGCAACGGCAAAGAAAGAGGAGGCAGTGGCGGAAAACGTGGACGAGATCGAGGCGATCAAACGAGAAGAAGACGGATACGAAATGGACGTCGCAACGGACAGCGACGGTGATAGTGACGTGGTGGAATATGAAGCGGATCCCGACCAGCCAACCCTTGCCGGCCCGGACGCCGTCGACATTGACGGCAAACGGATGCTAGACGGCAGCGGAGGCAGCATGGTGCGCGTGTGTGAGGGCGAAGACGGAGAAGACGACTCTGATGCCAAACGAGAATTGCGAGAGCTGCTGCAAGCGGGTCGTTGGGGCGGTAGCGACAACGCGCAGAAGGTGGCGAAATCTCAAAGCAAACCGCAGCCCACATCGTCCACGGCTGCAGCAGCGTCCGCATCTCGCATACCAAGCAAGACTCCGAAACAAGAGACGGCCAAGGACGAGCGACAGGAAGTACCCTTCTCTCAGATTCCGCACGTAGGCCGCGCCACGGTGACGCGGCCATCGCCAACATCAACACCTGCCGCCCCGCCTGCTACTCCGCTCGCAACTGGAGCCTGCCCAGTGTGTAGCTTTGCCAACAGTGAACAGGCCATTACGTGCACCGTGTGCGGTCATGTTTTGCATGCCGATGCCGTCCCGGGTGCATGGCACTGCCAGAGCGCCACGTGTCGACAGAGCCAAGGCGTGCGGTTCCTCAATGCTGGCGACTGTGGCGTATGTGGAGTCTGTGGGCAGCGGAAAGGAATGTGATACGATAAACGAGCGACAAAAGAAGTTGAATCCGGTAAACGGGTTCTGTTATATAGAGGCTCTGACAAATGCTATGGGTATCTCGTTTTTTCAACTGCCTACAATGTGTGTCCCAAACGCCATGAAAATGTGACCATCGTCCCGTCTGCACACAACCTATCCCTACAGCCCATACCGCGTCATGCACTCGTCCCGGTGCAGCTCCAGACAGTCCAGGGCACACACGGGCGTGCCGCACTTTGTGCACTTGACGCGGCCCCAGTAGCCGCAGATCTCGCAAAACACGCGCGTCGGGTAGCGCCGTCCGGTGCTGCCATCGTCGTTGTCGTCGACAAAGTCGGCACGCGCTTCGGGGTACGTCAGTGGCGGACCTTGCACGAGGCTGCGCAGCTCGTCGTCCGTGGGCAGTGGCGGCATATTGCTGACAAGGAGCGGGTCGTTGTCGAGGGGATGTGCAGGCGGCCGGGGTCCTGTGTAAGGGAGGAGTATAGAGGAGGCGGGACGGGTCGTCTGTTGTGCGGCCTCCTGCGCAGCCATACCGTCTGCATGGCCCGCCGCGTCGGGTGTTCCTGGAGCATCGGCCATCGGCGTGTCAGCGGACGAGGGTGTTGGGGTTGCCGCCGAGGTGGACCGCCGTGCTGCTGCCGAGCCGCCGCGTCTTGTGTCTTTCTTTGTGTCCTTTTTTGCCGCCGGCCGCCTGCTGCTGCTGCTGCTGTTCTTGCTTGGCGTGGCGGTCGCAACCGCCCCTGATGCCGCGGCGCCGCGCCCGCCGCTCGGTGTGTCGCTGTTGTGTCCGTGGCTATGGTTGTGATTGTGGTTATGATACAGGTGTGGGTTCGCCTCGTGCAGCGCCGTGAGCGCGTTGAAGTCGTCGAGATGGTTGGCAAACGACTTTTGCGACGCCAGGATCTTGCGCACATTCGGCGTGTACTTGTTCTGCGCCTTGACCGCCTTGGCCGGGACCGGGATCTGGTTGTCACGCCCACCACTGCTTCCAGCTGCCGAACCGCCATCACGGTCTAGAAGCTCGAGCTCCTTGCGTAGCTTGGCTTCCTGGCGCGACGTAAGATGCGAAAAGAGCGCGACAGACGAGCCTGCGCCGCCGGCAGCGGCGCCGCCTTGGTTGCGTGTCGAGCGCTTGCGTGAGTTCTTAGCCACACCGCCGCCGGCCGCACCTGCTCCTGCACCGGCTGCACCGGCTGCTGCTGCGCCAAAGGCACCGCCGCCTGTATAGTTTGCACCGGCGGCGGCCATGGTGGCAGCCATCCCTGGCGGTATATTGCGGCTGCTGTTTTCCGGCACGTAGGCCCAGCCGGGCGCCACAGCGCGGCGTTGGCTGGCGATCTCGACGACGCCGAAGTTGTCCATGGGCGCGTTCGTGGGACGGGTCGAGTCGTCGGGTAAGGGTGAAGAGGATGGAGATTTGTCGTCAAAAAGTCGTCGTTGTTGGTGAGAGAGATAAATTTGGGGTAGAAGTCATAGTCTGGAAATTTATAGGTGGTCCCTTCCGTTTATTGTGGTCAGCCGCGTACTTGATCAGCGCTGTGGAGTGGCGACTAAACAGCTGCTAATTCGCTGAGGCTAGAGGTCGCCCTTCCGCCTACAACGTAAAATACATAATAAAATGTACGCTCGACAATTTCACTCAGACATGCAGGAAACTCATGTAAATGCAGAATATTTTTGAATGAAAATAGTACTATACAGACGTCTAAGACGATAGCCTTGCGCTCGCTTTGCCATCCCATGCACAATCTGCTTGGACGAGCCCTTGACCGCCAAAATTAGACCACAGCCGCATTCGTGATACCAAGGCGTTGCTGTACGTAACCAAGTCCGTTCCTACAAGCCGAGAGGTAGTCTCATTTCTTCTGGACCTTGTCCTCGAGCGTCGCCAGGTGGGTGCTGAGCTGCTGCGTGGCCCTTTGCAGGGTCTGTTGAGAGGAATACGGTTAGCCGGGAATAACAAACGGAGAGTGACCAAGGATGAAGGACGACGATCGGACAAGGAGAGGGGGAGATTCTGTAGGAACTCGCAGTAGGAGACTTTACGCCACAGGGCAATGCGCGGTGTATATGAGGAATTCGGAGGAGAGAAAGGAGAGAAACGAGGAAGACCAAACCACTTGATTTCCAGGAGGGTTCCGCTTGGAGTCCGGTATTCCGAGAATGGAGAAGGAGGAGAGGAGCCGAATCGCAAAATAGACTGCAAAAGTAGGGCAAAGACGGGGACCAAAAACGAGACGATTGACAGAGAGGGAAAGTCTTATATGCAGGCACGCACGTAAATGTCTTCCGTCAGCTGGTCGTTGGACGCTTTGTATTCCGTGAGCACGTAGTAGTACACGCCCGCACCCGTCAGCGTCGCGCCGAGAAGGAAGCCGAAGAGACTGCACCGTTAGCATTCGTAGGCCAGAGCGAGCATGGCACCGGGAGCGAGCTTACCCTCCACGGAACGCGCCGACTGGCTTGCGTGCAGTCAGCGGTGCCTCGGCCAGCCGCCGGGCTGAGGTCTGAAAGCTACGCGCCGGTGTCGCAGAGGCGATCGAGACAGGCGACGTAGTCGCGCGCGACACGGAGCGCAGGAGCATTGTTCTTGAAGCCATGGTGTTGGGTGGGAGGATAGTAAGATTGAAGAAGATGGAAGTTCCAAGACCGAAAATCGTGAGGAGTGGTCCGTCCGACGACAAGTTGGCGCGGCGCAGCGCAATGAAGGAAGCAATCGGATGCGTTGGCAAGTCAAGTAAGCGCGGCAAGAAAAGCTACTGTGTCGTCGCTGTCGTCGGGCCGCGTGGCTTCGAAATCGGTTGTGTGGGTGTTGGTTGCGTGTTCGAAGTCGACGTTCGGTTCAGAACGGCAAACATTGGATTTAGCTCGCTCACTGTCGCGGGAAAGGCCAGGAAGCTCAGCCAGCGCCTGTTCCTTACGCTATAGCGTGTGTTTCCTGAACTGGGCGGTGTAAGTCGGCAGAATATGTAGTATTTCGTGCACGCAGTATCTACGGCAAAAACAAGACACAATTCAAAGTAATTACGACGGAACGACATACTGCATCGAGCAGCATAATTTGACTCGAAAATTTAGGAGTAAAAACATACGCCCTGTCGCCTCCTTAGACAAACAGACAAACGCAGTCTAGATTGAATTCAAAACGCATAAATTAAGAACAACACGGGAGAACTAAGATAACCCAAATTGTATCTTCTCGTTTCTTTCTCTCTGGTCCGGGACACAGACATGAACAAACAATTTTAATAACAATGCTTGACGAGGCAAAATGAACCTGAGCCGCTCCTCCTCCTCCCATTCTGTCGTAACAGACCATCTCCCACGCCAGAGGTGGTCGTCGTGTTTCATTTTTGTTGTGTTACAATTGCATAGTTTTCGAATGTAAGGGTCTCTTAAACTTTTTCGTAGAACATCGTACAGGGGGGAATAGGAAGCAAACAAGAAAACAAACACGTCGTCGCAGAATCGGCTGGGAGCGAATCTACAGCTCGTCGTGCTTGCTCTTCTCCTCCTTCGCCTCCTCCGTCTTGGTCGACGAAGAAGCCGACGTCGCGCTGCTCTCCGAAACGTCATCCTCGGCGACCGGGCCGGGCTCGGCCTCGTACTTGCCGTTGTCCTTGATGAACTTGATCAGATCCTCGACCGTGCGCGAGCCCGAGTAGGTGATGGGCTCGTCCTTGCTGCCAGCGGGGAACAGCTTGATGGTCGGGAAGCCCTGGATCTCGTCCGGCACATCGTTGGCCGTGGCGTCCACCTTGGCAATGACGACCTTGTCCTTGAACTCGGACGCAGCGTACTGCGCAGCCAGGTCGTCGTACTTGGGCGCCAGGGCCTTGCAGTGACCGCACCACGGTGCGTAGAATTCGAGCAGGACATCCTTGGTGTCGTCCAGGACAATGTCGTTGTAGTTCTTGGCCACAACAATGGTAACACCCTCCTGCTTCTCGGGGATCGGCTCCGACTTGATGCTGGGCTCGACCTTGCCGGCGACAAAGTCGTCGACAAACTTCTTGATCGCGTCCTTGGTGATCTTGGCCTCAATGTCAAAGGGGAACTTCTGGTTCTTGACCGTCTCCTGGATGGCGAACGAGGGGAACTTGTCCGTGGGCAGGTTCAGGTTGCCGGCGTGCGCACCGAAAGCCTTGGCGTCAATCGTCGCGAAGTTGACGACACCACGGTGAGCCTCGGCAATGGGCTTCAACTCATCAGCCAGCTCCTTGCGCTCCTCGGCGGTCTCGGCAAAGATGTACGCCAGGGGGATGCCTGCCGACATGTAGTCGGAGTATGTCTCGGGGCCGACCTCGCCGATCAGCGGGGTGGCGGCCGTCTTGGCGAACTTCTCAATCGCCGCGTCGTCAAACTTCTCGGAGAAGACAGCCTTGCCATCGTCAAAGTCCTTGTACAGGACGATGGACGGCACGGTGATGCCCTCAGCCTCGGCGAGCTCAGCATCGCTGCTGGCACCGAAGGGGTAGTTGTCGCGGAGCTTCTCGGCGACCTTGGTGAAGGTCTCGTTGGAGGCCTTGTCATCGGCCTTGAGGTAGGCGACCAGGACGACCTTGTCGGCCTTCTTGAACTCGTCGAGGTTGTCCTTGGTGACGGTCGAGACGGCGGGCAGCGACTGCTTGATCATGTACGAAGTAATGGCAGCAGCCTTGCGCTGGCCCTTGTAGGCGCTGATGTTGTCGGTGCCGCGGAAGATCTTGAGTGTCGGGTAGCCTTCGACACCGTACTGTTGGCAGAGGTCGGCCTCCTCTGTGCAGTCGATCTTGGCCAGCTTGATGTTCTTCTCTTTGAGGGTCGTGGCAGCCTCCTCGTACTCGGGAGCCAGAGCCTTGCAGTGGCCGCACCACGGGGCAAAGAACTCGGCAAGGACAATCTCGTTGCTCTTGACAAACTCCTCAAAGGTGTCGGTCTTGAGTTGGTGAACGTCTGAGACGTCGGCACCGGCGACGAGGGTCGAGCCGAAGGCCACAAGGGCCATTATCAAAGACTTGGAGTACTTCATTGTGTCTGTGTGGTTGTGCTGGATCTGGTTAGCAAGTAGCCGAGGTAGGTGAGCAGTGTGGATGCAGATGCGACGTAAATCCTCGAGGCTGGGGAGATGGATCAGAGCATCGCCGGGACAAGCGGAGTGAGGTCATCCAGAGCAAAGCAAGAAATACAGGAATAGAAAATAAGCGAAACTCACGTTTGTGGAAAGAAAGAACGAGAAGCAATAGAAATGCGAATCACAAAGAAAGCAGTGAATAGAAAAGAGAAAGTAAAGAACAAGGTTGGGATGAAGGAGGATAAAAACAGGGTGGAAAGTTGCGGACGTGGAGAAGTTAAGTATGGCGTAGGACCGCTCAAGGCGTACTACAAGGGCCGGGGGCAAGGTGTCCCTTCTGTTTCCTGTCACTTGGAGGGAACAATCACTCAAGGAGTTAGTTGACTGGGCCACAGGCGGTGCCACACCAAAACGGGCGCTAACAAGGAAAGCTTCCCCTTTTTACGCAATCTTGGCGATCGTGTCTCGTTTTCATCGTTCCTTGCTGAACGTACGCAGTACATAGGCGCACTTGCCAACCCACGCAGTAGGTCCTGAGGTCCTGTCGGATTAGTAGGCGATCCAAAGATGCTCCTTCCGGACTTTTCTGTCCACTTTCCATTTGTCTACCTTATTTACCACGGCCGTCATTGCTCCTTCCAGATGTTATTCTCTTTGCGACCCGTATTCCTCGCGCAAGAGTCGTTGTTTGGCAGGAGCGAGCGGCTTCGGTTCGCGTGTATTTCTAATCTGGGGCTCCAGGGGAACCAAAACGGAGAAGACGACAGGTGTTCAGTTCACTTGGGTGGCGCGGCTTGGGACACCATCCCTGCTGGGTTCCTGCCCCACTCCCTTTTGGCCATGCAACAGAGACGCCAACACTATGGGAAGGCTGATAAAGCGGGTAAGGTCGCCCACGCCAGGCCTGGCCTAAGCCAAACAGGGCGGAGGCAAGGGGTGGTGGCACCGGCCCCTAAGTACCGACTGTATGCGAAATGTACCAAAACGCTACATTGCAACTTAAAACTTTCAGTTGGGCGGTACCTGCATCTTGTCTACAAAGAATCTGACAATGGTATGAAAAATCGATGAACAAATGCGGCAACTTTCGACTGCTGAAGAAACCGGCAATGGTGACAGAAGAAGCTAACCTTGTCTCGCCGGCCTTCGCCGGGCCTAACCTTGTCCTCACGACGTCGCAGACAGCTCTTGGAGAGGCCAGCAAGCATGAGACCAACCTCATATGCTCCGGCGTCAGACATTTATTAATACGGAGCATTTCGCCGCGCCGGTGGACCTCATGCGAGCAATTTGACCAAATTGCCTGTCTGTTGAGCCGCGTGCATCCTCTCTGTAAGTATTTAATCTATATCTATATGAGCTACCTTGGGACTTGAATTTTGGAGTCTGAAGGACAGCTTTCACTTTTGAGGATGACTTCCAAATGGCGTTAAGAGCGATGTGAGCAGCGGACGGCATCGAATTCACAAGCCAAAATATGCCACTCGTAATGCTCAAATTACGTGCTCCTTGTCAGGTTGTTTACGCATACTTTTGGAGAGGAAGTGCTTGGGGATAAAATATAAAATAAGAAAGGACAAACGGGTTGTGGAACACGGTAAAGAAGGTCGAGGTGGTTGTCAAGGATCCATCTTCACCAAATCAATGCAAAATACACTGACACGACGAAGACCGTTCCCTCAGATGCCGTTCATCCCCAAAACAGCATCACCTTTACCACTAGCAAATCTCTCATCCAGAGTCATGAAATAGTATGTGCTGAACTAACTATATGCAACAAAAACCCGGTATTGCGCCGTATAAATGTACTCGGTATTGTATTCAACTGGCCGTCCGACGAACCTCACTCATCAGGCCAAGCCCGCCCAGGGACATCTGTCACACTAGATCGTCGCCGCTGACGAGCCGCACGCCACCGCTTGAACAGGCTGCCTCGACCGTCAGTCCTGTCATCGGAACCGCCGCCCCATTGGCGGCCAACGGCACCGTCGTAAAAGACGTGGCCGCCATTGGTGTGGGCTCCGCCGCCGCCGCCGCCGCCGCCGCCGCCGCTACCCCAAGTCTTCTTCTAAAAGACGCCACCGCCGATAATAAACAACCGCTCTTCCTCCCGCTTCGCCCACTGGACGATGCGGTTGGCATCTTGTGTGACCACGGCGCGCGACGCATTCGGCCCGGCCACGCAGTAAAACTCAAAGACGGGCGTCACCCACACCAGACTTGTGGCGTCCTCGCCCACGCAGTGCAAAATCTTGAGGTGGGCGTGGCGCGCGTGCACGGCGGCGTGCAGCTGGTGGTACACGGTCATGAGCCGGCGGCGGGCTTCTCGTGTTTGGGACTCGTGCGATTCTTCAGCGGACATGGCAAACTGCACGTTGGCGCGTGACTTGTACAAGAAATGGTGGATCTGCACGGCCGTCCCCGGTCGCTTTACAATGTCGGCTACCTTTGGCCGACCGGCTGCGACGGCGTCGCTTATCAGGGCCAGGCCCCCGTTCTTGGCCATGTTTTGTGCCACCTTGTCGCGCATTTCCTTGAGTTCGAAAAAGCTTTCCTTGTCGGCGCTGATCAAGATGATGGCAATGCTTTCGTTGTCCGATGTAGGTGTAGGGGAAGACACAATCGGTTTTGCATCCGCTTCACCACCCTCGGCATCGAAAAAGTTAACGTACATATAGAGGTAGCCACTGTTGTTAAAGGCCGGCAAGCACAGGGGGATCCAGTTTTCGCCGCCGCCAGCCTTGATGCCACCTGACTCAAAGAGCATATTGAAAATGAGTTGCAGATCACTCGGGTGTAATGAGTGCTTGCGTGGCCGGATCACACTGACGAGCTTGCCGCCCGCGACAATCAACCCGTACAGCAGCTTTTCCGT